TGATCTGGTCCCCTTAACAAACAAGACGTCAAAACGGCTTTCTGACCAGCATCAAATGCTATGTTTCCGTATTTCTACGAACAAGTAAAATTACTATGAATAAAGATTGGTTGCAATAACTTTACATAATTCATAAGAAGATGCTTCCATCACAAACCTCCCAATAATTCACTGCCGACTCTTCCATCATCAGCTTTATTAATATGAAAAGACAATAATTACATCGATAATTTTGACACGATAAAGCATATATTCGAGATTTAGGTAATACAATTACTTCATATATACAAAGCCGACCTTCCCTTAACATATCTACTGGAACTCCGACGAGAAAAGCAAATTCTTTATTTCCTTTATATATTTCACCGGTTCTTCGCCACAAGCAGGCCGGGATACCCATAGAACTAAATACCCGATCATAGTCCTGATGTAAAACAATGATGATTAGATCAAGCCAATAATCATTGAAAACAAACCAAGAAGGGATGCGCCTAACCAATAGAAGACGTTCAAATGCTTCCTCGACCAAAACCAGGTCAATGTCAGTCAGTGACTGGGCGATGTTACGGAAAGTGGGGCGGAAGGTACTTAGTGTACTTAGAATCCGCTGTTTACTTATATTTGTCATGCTTAGAAACAATAAAACAAGATTTAAATATTAGGCATAAAGTCGGCCAAACATAAACTAAACAATACTCACTTATTTTCTATGTATCTTTGTAATCGGGCATAACCATTAACATAATTATATGGTTTCAAAAATCCGGCATCAAATTTCGCGTTAATCACTTGAGTTAATCGATCTTCAGACGTGCCATCTGAAGGATCGGCTGCGGTTAAAAAAAATTTGTCGGCATTGTCTATCGAAGCTCCGTCGGAGTTATGGATATTCGGTTGATTTCCATCCACACTTTCCAAAAAGTCACTTTCCACAAAAGATAATAAGTAAACATATGGGAACTAAATCTGTATCGCTACCTTTAATAATAAACTGAAACTGATGCGTTTAATTGAATTGCTCCATGGATCTTACGTAAGCACGGTGAATTCATGTCCCATGTGCTCGCTAGCAAAAGTAAGAGGCGTTATTGGTAACTGTGAATATGTTGCAATTTGCGGGAAGGCTTGCATAGTTAAATTGGTAGACCTCAATACTAAAGAATTAACAAATTAGATAGTTGATATAATTGGCGCATATAAATAAGATAAGAGCAGTGAAAAAAGGGATTTTTACTGTCTTGAGGGACCGGCTGCATTGTTATGAGGTTAGCCGGAACGGTGTTAGTTCCGCTAGGTACTTGCTGGGAACCGTGAGAGCCCTTCGGCTCGTCATGACAGAGATGTCCTATGCTTCTTTTTATGCATCGTTGGCATGGGCGACCTGGCAAAACAAAATGGTTTGTCCACCGTGTCTAACGAATTCGTTAAACAATTAGTGAAAAAGAAGTACCGTCATCACATGTCATATGAGATCGTCGACAGTAAACACACGCTACAAAACAAATATATGGTTAATTGTAAAATTGTTAATGATCGTTAAGCAGTTTAGATAATATATACCATGAGTAACTTTTCTTCTTTTTGGACCGGCTCTCTTTTTCTTTGTATCTGTTTCCTTCGTCGCGATTGAAGACTCGTTCTCATGCTCGGCCTTTACAGCAGGATCAGTAACATCCGTTGATTCTACTTGCTGATTCTGAAGAGATTGGTGTTGAGATTGTGGTGAAGTACTTTGTTGTTGGGAATTGTCCATAATTACTTCATGTGTAAATGGAAGAATTCTTGTCAATTACGTGACTGGAAAAGGCAGATGACTTGGGCGAATCATGTACAGTCGTACCAAGTAACACCTGATTTTTTGCTATGTATATATAGCGAATCATCGTCCAAAAGATGATGCAGTTACGTCATGGCCACTCAAACACCTCAAGCATCATATGTTCCCGAAAACATTGTTTACAATTCCAAAAAAATAACCTTTATTCGTTCATCGATGTCAGCAATCACTGGATCAGCGGCCGGAATCTTGGGGTTGACTGGCTACTATGGATTCATCTTTTATGGGATTACCTCTGTATTTACATCTTTTCTCATTTGGGCCGTGAAAACACAAGCGAAGCCAAGTTTATATTTTCGCACCGGTTCAGACGTCTGGACAGAAGGTGTATTTGGTGGATTATTTTCTTACGTATTGTTTTGGACTTTACTATATGGAATAGTGCATGGTATGTATATTCAGAGGCTGAAAACATAAAAGGACCAATAATAATTTTT